AAACGTAATGTTGAAAATTTGCAGAAAAAAACTTGGCCCGCGCAAAACCAGGCAAAATATAAAAGAGTAAACAGTCAGATCCTTAAATGCGCGTACTTAAAAATGTTAAGTTCACCTCAGTTTCGAAACTTTCAATCATTTGATTTTTACTGAAATCTTTGAACACCTCTCCAATGCTTGATCGCGATTTTCTCAATTGCCAGCACAGAGATCATTAATATGTTGACCAAGGCCAGGAATTTGCAGAACCTCAGATCATGAAATACTTGTTTATAGACAAAGCATTGCCAAAATGATTGATTATTAGAAATAAAAAAATAAAAGTAAAATACTTTCGTGTTTTTGCAAGCGTGACTCGAAAACCTACGGCCATTTTTTTATGTTTGCCAAAAAAGATTTTAAGAGCGCACAATTCTCTCTTTTCCAGCCAATTCGCTATCTCGCCCTCTCTCCCTCACTCTCTCTCTCTCTCTCTCTCTCTCTCGATTGGCAAAATTCTGCGGGCAAAGAGACGAAGGTCAGCGAAATATTTTTGGGTACAAGCAACGCTTTTATGTGTGTCCTAAACAATTGAACACGCTGTCACAAGCGACAACGGCGCACAGCATCGGCATCGGCATCAGCTTTATGATCCTTTGTCCTTTGGCTGCGCAGCTACCCCTTTCCCTATGTTTGCCGTGGCACAGGCGAAACCTTTGCCAAAAAATGTAGCAGTTATTTTTTGTAAATTTCAAATCACTATTTTCAAATGAAAATAAAAAGCTGACAACAGAAAAAGGGTTGATAAAGGCTAAACACAGCGCAAGTCCTGCAATATGAGGAGCTGGAAAAGGAGGAGAGAGCGGGAGAGGGAAAGAGCGTGAGGCGGAGATGAGACTCATTTGGCAGCATCTCTGAAAATCACGACGAGACTGACCAATTGACCACTGGCAACAGCAGCACGTGCCACCGCCGGAGGATGTTGCAGACAGCAAAAGCAACAACAACAACAACAACAACAAACAACAATAACAATGCCGGATAACTCGTTGGTCACTTGGGTCACTTAAGGGGTTAACTTGGCTGGACACGCGTCACCCAAACAACAACAGCAACATTTACATAAATGCAAAACACACAATGAAAATCATTTTCCACTTTTCCCGAAAAAAAAGCGGCAGTGCAAATGGGCGCAACTCCGTGTTGTGGTCAACACGGGTAGAAACCATAAAGCGATTTAGATAAACGAGTTTTCACAACAAATTGTGTGAAAATTGTCTGACCAGTTGACTTGAGCCCATAATTAAGCAGTTAAGCTTTTGGCATACTTATGTGAGACCATGCCACTGACATATTAAATTTCCAAAGAAGAGAAAAAGAAAAACACTCGCATTTTCCGCAACAGAGAAGTTGCAGTCGCAGCGATAGGAAAAGCGTCGTCAACCCATTTCTTTTCTTATTGAAACCCTATACAGGCATCGATCAGCGAGCGAGCGAGTTTCCGCAAATATTGCAAGGAAATGGAAAAATTCCCACAGTGCGAAAATCGCCGGCAAGGATTACAATCGTGTGCGTTGAGAAATTTACGAGCGATCAAATAACCGAAAACGAAAACTCAGCCAGGTATCAAAGGGTGCAAATAAAATTGCAAGAGCGAAAGGTCCTTGGTCCTGCGCTGCCTGGGTTCAAATGTGTCACGTCTTATGATGTCACTTTTGCACACACACACGCACACACACACACACACCAACCCCGACAGTATGAAGCACAGATAGTCATCATCTTCAATTCTCGATGCTGGATTCTCAATTCGTGTTCTTCATCCTGATCGGGTTCACAGTAAATTACGCACAGAGGTGAAATGCAAACAATAAAAAACGGCTGCTCCTTGATGCCTTGACGGCCTTTGGCAACCCTTGCTCAAGCATTTTTCATTTTTCTTTCATTTTTCCCTTTGCTTATTTTGTTTTTTTTTTTTTTTTTTGTGACGAATTTAATGATTTTTGCCTCAAAACTGAAGCGATTTTTCATTGACCCAGCGCGGGGTTGGTTCAGAGATCGTCTTGGGGTTTCCTTTTGTCTTTTTGTTATGCCAGCTTGAACTGGGAATTGCATTCACCCGTGCACGCACAGACTGCGGCTTAGCAAGGCCTCTGGCCTTGGCCTTGGCCTGGTTTTGTGGGTCAATGTCGCATTAAGCCTAAATTTATGGCCTCTGAGTGCCAATAGTCATGCAGATTAATGAGCCAAGGGCAGCAAACGTTTTGCCCCAGACTAAGAACCAAATAACTCTCCTCCTTTGCCTTTCAATAATCCTTTATAATCCAGGAAAAGAAAATTAAATTAAATTCAAAATGTGTCTAAAATTTGGCTTCTTCGTTGGCATATACAACTTATAATTTATCAAAGTTTAACTAAAACTAAAACTTAAATTAACTTGATTAAAAAAAATCAATATATTTTTGTGTATATCAATATATTTTGTATGTATATTCTTATAGCATGCTCAATTGGAACTGAGCTTAAAGATTTTATAGTATCTCGAATTCTGAATAAGAAATTAAATTAACACTTTTTATATCAATTTTTTCTATATAGTTTATTTTATTTTTTACTATTTAGCTTATTATAAACTAAAAGTTAAGCGTAAATTTTATAACTTTATATTCACATATTTCTATACAATATTCACCCTTAAAACTTGTTAAAATATCCGAATAGTTTAATTATAAAATATCAAATCATCAGAAGCAACAAAAATACAAGTAAAGGTGAGCTGGTCGGGGGTGCCCGGCTAAGAGATACCCTAAGCCTAGCGGCAAGCTCCCGTTAAAATCATTGTAGCTTCGTGATTAATTCCGCGTTTATTGTCCGGAACGATAAGTTGTGAAATAAGTGAAATATCCTTAACATCACGGCACTAATGCGTAAAAATTGGTTTTAAAAATCTATATTTATCGATGTAATGAAAATTGACGGACATATCAATAAATGCATGCAAAAACCCACTCGATCCTACAGACGGATATGGCTGGAATATAAATAAACTCTATGCGATTGGAAGCTTCATTAGCTCGATTCATACTTTTCCACAAAAGCATTGTACCCTTTTAACCATATGAAAATGGGCATAGGGTATAAAAATTGTAAAATCCGCACAGACTTTTTACTTATCCACTGTACGTGGCCGTTGGTTTTTCGCTACAAAAACAAAAACAATAGCAAATAGAAGAGCCAGCAGCTTGGGAAAGGTAACCTCAGTTCAAAATAATTTGATGCTAGATTTGTATGCATATTATGGGAGTAGAGAACAACACGCTGACCCAAAATTATAAAGTTACAACTGCAACCCTTTTGCTACCCCCCGATTGAATTACACGTGAGCCGGCGAGACGATGGACCTGAATATGGACCATGGCCAGGATCGACCCCTGGGCAGCAGCAGCAGCAGCGGCAGCGCTTGCTCGTCGTGTTGTCAACTTTGGCCGTGCTTGTTAGCTGCGCCGCCCCTTTAGGGTTGTGCATATTCAAATTTGATGGCAGCCAAAGGATTTGACCAAACAAATCCTTTCTAATTTCATTCGGGCTGCTGTTGTGCCGCGCATGTGCAGCAGATTAAACGCCGGACGCTGCGCAGCTTTTGGGCAAATGGTAAACGGGTTTTGAATTTCATATGCCGCAGGATGCATGTCCCTATGTCCCTATGTGTGCGTGTGTGTGTGACCCATCCATCAGCGCTGTGTGGACGTGCGGAAGCTGCAGCGCAGCTAAAACTACAAGTCATTTGAAGTTCTAATAGACGTTGCATCCTTTTGTCGACAAAAGGCAAAATAAAATAATAAAAAAAAAAAAAAATAATAAGAACTGGTTTCCAATTGCGCACATTTGGTCCACAATTCGTGGTCCATGGTCCAGGTCTAGGTCCAACGCCCAACCCCCTGACGTGCCGTATGAAATGAAATTTTATTCAAATTTTATTCCTTGCACGTTGTATGAGGTTTTTACCGGGACATGTCTTGTGCAGCATGTTTCTTTTTATATACTTTTTTTTTTTAATTTCATAATTTATTTTATAAATTTATCTCTTGCCGCTTAATGAGCACCTCGGACCAGTGTGTTTTGAGAGTTTTATGAGAAATTTTCGAGGCGTTTGTTTGGGAAAATAAGAAGGAAGATCGAATCATAAATTCAACATGAAAACAATGAAGACTATTTCAAAGTTAAGGCTTATGATATTGCCTCATAAAGGAACACTCATAAGTTTTGGTAAACATTAGAATATTTACTTTTTAGAAACCGTACTTATAAGAGGCTGTACTCACACAGCTATTCGCTCTGCACCTACGCTCATTCGAACCCTTAGAATCTGTATTTGGAAATTTTTGCCACGCGACGGTCACTCATTCAAATTCAACCCCTGCAAACACTTCAACTGACCGCTGGTCCACACACACACTGAAAAACAATGCTTCGTAACATGATTGCCATAATTTGTTATACAAGCTATTTGGCTGTTCCCGGTGTCTGTCCATTCCACAAAGGGGTCAACGAGCACGGCACACGCTCGTTTGGTTTAGCGGTTTCGCGTTTCAAATAGTCGTCGAAACGTTTAACGGAAATTTCTGACAATAGCACACGGAACTGCCAATACGCACATGCAATATTCTACCATTAGCCTTGCTTTGTTATGCAAATTGTGCGAATTCAATTAACCGCCAACAACTCAGAACAGTTGCAGCAGGCAAGGTAGCAGGATGGGAACACTGAAACATTGCGCGCTCAATAAAATCAATATGCAATAATCCCAGCCGCTATAAATTGATGAATGTGCCTTGAATACGTTTTTTGTGGAAAATGGGGGTTGTTGACTGATAATTTGCATATTGCAAAATGTAGAGTAAACACGCTTATGTTAAATTTTTATTGAAATAGAAACTTATATATTAAAATTTAAGTTAACCTTTATCTTTTACTAATTGATGTTTTTCTTTTTCCCGCCTATCTTTCAAACGAACGTTAGGCCGGCAAACTTATCAGACAGTCGGTTATCGATTTAACACTTAACAGAAATACTCCACCAAATAATCAAATTTAACAGAAGCAGAGTAACAGAACCGTAGAACAGCTGTGCAAACAGTACATTTCTGGTAACTTACAACACTGATCTAAGCAGAATCTGTTCATCCCGCTAAATATTTTGTTTATTGTGCGGTGCTCGGAGTTTAAACCTTTTAAAACGTTTGAATATGGAAGTGGAAAACAATAACAACACGATTGTACCTGAAAACAAAAAGGAACACTTTGCTTGTAAGCGCTCAGCAACTGTCGAGGATGAAGACAACGCTGAAAAAATCAAAAGGCTGAAACAAAATGGACTCGAGTCCAGCAGCGAAGCTCAAGGAGCGGACGCACATGTGACTGAGGGCACAAACAAAAAACTGATGGCTCAGCGACCACCCGCACATAGTCCCAAGAAGCGAATTCAGCTGGACAATAAAAACGCAGCTGGACTGGACAAGAAGCCCAAATATAATAAACATGAAACGTTTATGTTTGGAAACTATAGACACTATTATGGGAAGCGTATACTGGACAAGGACTTCCATGACATACGCTTGGATGTGCTGGCCACACAGCCGGAGTTGTTTCGCGGCAAGCAATTGCTCGACATTGGCTGCAATTCGGGTCATTTGTCCTTAGAGATAGCCAAGAAATTCGAAGTCAAGAGTCTTGTTGGGTTGGACATAGATCGCTTTCTGACACACGAGGCTCAAATGGCCGTAAACCTACTCAAACGAACCAACAATGTTTCGGCAGCAAATGCTGCCGGCAGGTTTCCATACAATGTAAAATTTGTGCATGGTAATTATGTGCTGGCCGACGACGTCCTGCTCGAGATAGAGCGTCCACAATACGACGTAATCCTATGTCTATCCGTCACCAAATGGATACACCTGAACTTTTGTGATGCGGGCTTGAAGCAGGCATTCCGACGTATGTACCTGCAGCTTCGTCCCGGAGGCAAGCTGATACTAGAGCCCCAGTCATTTGATACCTATAAGCGACGCAAGAAGCTCACGGTAAGGGGACCACAACAGGACCTGATGTGTTCTTTCTAAAATTTCTCTCTCTCTCTCTCTCTCTCTCTGTTTGCAGGATAACATACGAGAGAACTACAATGCCATTCATTTCAAGCCAGAACAGTTTACAGCCTATCTACTCAGTCCCGAGGTGGGCTTTGCCGCCATGGAACTAATGGGCGTGCCGGAGCACTGCCAAGCAGGCTTTAAGCGTCCCATACAGATCTTTAGCAAAGTCTAGTCTCTATCAACAGTTTTTGGTTTTATCGTAAAAAAAAAGTTAGAAAGAAATAGTATTTACTGCGTGCGTTGCTTTTTATTGGGCGACCCAGGCGGTGACTGCAGTTGCTCCAATATGGCGGGCAAGCTCTCCAGTAGCTGTTCTGATGTCAGCGTAAAATCACTGTCCGCCCAGAGCAGGCGCAACTCGGATAAGACGAGGCCCATCCGCTTACCCACCAAGCCGTAACCCTTGAGCGTGTTGCCGTTGATCGGAAGGTTGGGCGTCTGCCAGGCCTTGAGTTGATTGTATAGCTCTAACTTGTTGGCATATTTCAGCAGCTGCTCAACATAATCGCGTTTGGCATACGGCTGCAGGCACAGTTTCTGATAGTCGCGCAGGGTATTATAATCGGAGTCTACCTGAAAATGAGATACTGTAAACATTAAATCCATTTATTTAGTTTATATTATAGTTACCCGCTGCCGCTGCTGCGTAATAAACAGCGCCAAATCACGCTCGTAAGCGGACAGCTTTAGGCGCTCGTGAAGCTTCATAGCCTGCTCGACTGTGTGCAGCAGAGCCGTCAAATATAGAATGGGATAATGTGGCTGCTCAAAGCGTTTCAGGTCGCCGCAGAGTCGCTTAAATTCTGCGATATTTGGCTGTGGTGGCAGCCCACATTGCTCCAGCAGGCCACAATTATGCATTTCAAGCATCAGCTCGAGACCAAAGTTGCCTGCGACAATCTTCTGCAGCTCTGCCCAAATGCGCTCCCCACTAATCCGTGCTAGGCCCGCTGCATTCGCCTTTATAGCTGCCAGGGTGGGCTTGTCGTGAGATTGGGCATCCGCTGATATGCGTCCATAGAAGCGAAAATAGCGCAATATGCGCAAATAATCCTCCTTGATGCGCACATCTGCATCACCCACAAACACCACGCGACGCTGCTGCACATCATCGTAGCCATAGAAGTAATCATAGACTGTCCCGTCAAAGCCTAGGAACATGGAGTTGATGGTCAGGTCGCGGCGATTTGCATCCAATTGCCAGTCGGTAGTGAACACCACATCCGCATGGCGTCCGTCTGTGCGCACATCTATGCGCAATGTGGTCACTTCGAAGTTCTCCTTGTTGTGGATGCGCGGTGTGATTGTGCCATGTTTCTCGCCTTTGGCATTGATCATGCGCACCTCCTCCTTGGCAAACATTTCCTTCATCTGGTCCGGTGTCGCGGTTGTGGCAAAATCAATGTCCTTCGGCTTAATGTTCATCAGTATGTCCCGCACAGCGCCGCCGGCAATACGCAGCTCATAGTTGTATTTATTGAAAAGGGCCACCAGAGCCTTCAGTTCCGGCGTAAATATGCTGTGGAACTCCTTACTGTCGACCTTCTTGAATGCGGGATTCTCACGCATCCTGGGCGGCTTTCCAAGCTGTGCTATTATGTCCGCCGAAATTTCGGTTGTCGTTTTGTCGATTTTTGGCGGTGAGGCCATGAGGTTCGCAGATGTTCTTAAATGGCAGGTACGCTGAATGCAACTGGCAGCACTTAATGCAGTAGCACGTGGCACGATCAAACTTTTCATAAGGTAACGTACACCATGCATTTGAAAGCTTTAAAGCCGTCAAAATCAGTTAGTTTTCCGAAAAACAAAAAACCAAAACCAAGCAACAAAATTATGTTAAAGCAGCTGAACAAATAAAGTGTTTGTTTAACAGAATTATGTTATTACCCAACAGAGTCAGCTGGTTGTGTGGCTATCGATAACAATATTAAAAATCTGTTATCGAAGCAAATCACTTTTTAATCAATGCGGAGTTGAATTTAAATTCATAGTTTTAACGTCCTCTGTTGCTGCCGCCCTATTTTTCAAATAGGATGGGTATTGCAAAATAAAATTTTTAAAACGTAAACCAATCTCCATTCATAATAAGTAAATCATATAAATAGCATTTATACACAATTTATTATTTATAATCATATGTATTGCCCATGTTACCAATTTGCTCATTTTGCAATTCCTTTTGCCCTTTTGGCAGCTGCGTATCCACTCAACAGTTTTACATATTAGGTAAATTTCAATTTTTATCAACTTTTTAGGCTTACAGTAAAACATTATATACATAATTTTAGAGCGCGGAAGTACCAATTCAATAAGATTGCTTTCAAGCTAAAGTTAGGCAATATAGTGAAATATGCATTGATCACAATCAATGGTGTATTTAGAAACGACATGAAAATTAGCTAGTTTCTACATATATATAACATCTACCATTGTTCAATTAAAGAATTGTATATTTATTGCAGTTTATATTTCTTAATATTATAGTTTTTCATAGTTTTGCCTAATAAACAGTATTAAACCACACTGCAAAATACAGGCTAAGTGAAAACATGCACGACTTTCATGTCTTTTCATATACATAGTATTCATTTCAATTTATTTTATATGTGTTACTTAAGGCCTAATCTTTTAATTTATCTTTCTTTAATTTTTACAGATTTAACACTAAAACATCAGGCATGTAAATTAAACTACAAAATGTGCAGTATGACAAAAGCAATTCGTAATGTTGAAAAATCAAAAAATATGTGTTCACAAAGTCAATCAAGCTTTAACCAACATCTACGCTAAAGACTATGCTCTGTCCGATCCGAGAGTTTTGCCCATTTTGTATATCCTAAACACATGTAAATGTAAAAAAACGTGCCTCAAATATCAAAATAACATTAAAGCCGCACTCAGCCCAATGCGTTTTAGTTATTTGAGCTAAACATTAGTTACAGAAACATTTGTATCGCTGCTGCAAGCATAAACAGTAGATCCAACGATTTACAAAGACGGACCTTAATTATTTCTATGCCTAATTAACTAATATATAATTCTGTTTATATTGTATACTATATATATATAAAAGTTTTCTCTTTTCGTATATTTCTCAAACCTAACAGCCAGTTTATGCAAAAATATTTGTTATGCTCTTTTTGTATTTATTATTCGTTTATCTTGTATTCTTCAATAACTTCATTAATTCATATTATGCACGCGTGTGTTGCATTTTGTTTCTGTTTCTATTTAGTTTTTTTTCTTGTTGCATTTCAGTAAAATCGGAGATCGCAATATCTTGGGTTCAACATAATTTAATGGACGAGTCTCAATGCTATTTGCTGGCTTTGTTTAATTCATTAATTTTCTTGAACAGCATTATCGGGATCATCAACATCATAATCAATATCCTCCAGCTCATAATTATATTCATCATCCTCATCGTCATCTCCGCCGTCGTCATCGTTGCCCTCTTGTCCCTCCTCATCACTTGAGGCATACAGCTGAAGCTCCCGTAATTGCCGTTGAACAAAATGTTAATGTTCCATAAGGGCCGCTGAAATAACAAAATCAACAGCACATAAATATTTAACACTCGAAATGGAAAAGTGAAAGTTGCGTCTTACGTGATGGTGTTCGGCCGGTCTTATTCTCATTGGGTGTGAAATTTAGAAAGTCCCATATCAAAATAGTATCATCGTGCGAGCTGCTCACAATTTGAAACTCATCGAACTGAAGGCGAAAAACGCGACCAGTGTGCTCCTAACAAATAAAAAGGAAATTATTAATACATGTCATATGAAAGTCAAAAGTGGACTCACCACGAGCGTATTGAGGCACAGTGTATTGGAGGCGGCACGTGGATCCAGCGCTGCAACCAAATCCCATACCTTAATTTTACCATCATAGGCGCCACTGACTATGCGCTTCGTATCGAAGCGGATGCAGCGCACCAGCTCTTCATGACCCTCCAGCACGCGTAGGCAGGCGCCACACTCAATATCCCACAACCTGCCAAGGGTTAATGTTGGAATAAGTTTTGATTTAAATGCAAATCCGCTCAGCTTTAATTGACCTGATCGAGTTGTCGGAGCTTCCGCTAACCACTAGACGATCCCTGTACTGCAGGCAAGCGATGCCACGTTTGTGGCCATTCAGGGTACGCACAAATTCACAGCTCGACGTGGACCACACTTTAATTGTGCGATCACCGCTGGCGGACACAATATACTTCTCATCAAAATCGACCACATTGACTGCCGCACGATGGCCGACTAGGACGCGACGCAACGTGATCTCGCTGGGCGAGGTCATGTCCCAGACCGCAATGGAGCGGTCCTTGGAGCAGGTCACCATCATGCCATTGTTGAAACGCAAATGTAGCACCGCCTCGCAATGATGTATAAGCGTGTTGACCATTTCGCCGGTGTTGACATCCCACACACGCACCGTGGAATCGCTGGAGCCACTGATAATGACCTTATCGTCATACTGCAGGCACAGAACCGAGCCAGTGTGTCCCATCAGTGTCTTAAAGGGGACAGTTGATAGTTAGTTAAAAGCACATCTCGGTTGTTAAGCCTGCTCTTCGTCTCACCTTGACACACTGCAGATCCGTGCGATCCCATATCTTAATGGTGTTATCCCTTAAACCGGACACAATCTTGCCGTCATCGTACTGTAGACAATATACGCCCTTCGAGTTCTCTGAGCGACAATTGATGCGACGCAGCATATGACGTCCGGTTCGCCAGTTGTTCTCTATACTGTCAATATCCTACAGATAAACAATGTTTAATTTAATCTATTTAGTTTTTACTTCAGGTACGCACATTCATGATCTTGGGAAACAGTTCGCGATGGAATGAGTGCGGTCGCTGTATTTGTCCCGGTCTTGGTTTAAACAGATGCTGCATCCAATTGCGGCGCTCGGCCAGGCCGCGCCACAGGGAATCGGTGCGCACTTTGCGCTCAATGAGCTTTTTCCACAGCATGCCCTCGGATATGACTCGCAGCCATTCCTTGCACACCAACTCGGCGGACTTAAGCGATTCGGCATCCAGATACGATAATATGTTCTCGGCAATATGATCCAGTCCCTTTTCTGTTGAGCGGACAAAAGAGATGAATTAATTTGTGAATTTGTATGTTCTTAAATGGAAGGTTCATTAACCATCTAATGAATCTAGTTCAACTAGTCGAACTAGCTTTCATAAAAAAAAAACGATCCCGACTCTAACCTAATAGGAAGCTGAATACTTTAGAAAAGAAGAGTATTCAACCCAAAAGTATGACAATGAGGTGGAAAATTGATCTTTTTCATTGAAATTAAATTATCTTTTAAAAACTTCAAACTTCTTTTCCAAACTTGACCTATTATCAAATAAATCAAGATGTTGTTTCAACGATCTTTGGAAAAATCGGCACTGTTGGAAAATATATAGAAAACTTTTGGTTAAAAGTTTAAAAAAAGCATGTATTCTATTATAAAAGAAAAACTTAAATTCACATGGCGCTTAAGTAATACTTGAAATGTATCAACTTGAGATGATTAATGTGCGCGAATGAACCCATTATGAGATACGTATAGGTAAACCTCGATGACTCATCACAACTTTCAGTTTGCTTAGCTTCACTGCGCTTTGCGCTTCCTGACAAGCTCTGCACACTTCAGCAAGTGACTAAACAACATATTGTACATATAAAATGTATATGTATATAAAGGTAAATAAGTAGATACTTATAAATAGTAGCACCCAGTTTAAGGTCCAGCTATGACTCACTGCAGCTGCGGATTGTAATCTTTCGCTAATGAAGCAACAATATCTCATACATTGCGCGACTCTGCAGTAGTTTCTCCAGACCCACGCGCCACCTACAGACGCAACTTGGACGCACCTAATGGCATTTAGCAGCGGGAGATGAAGAGGCTTGACGGCGACCTATCGACAGATGGTTCGCAAGGGGGCGAGGATAACTTAGCAAAGGGAAAGGCGATAGGAGCCGGAGCGAATTAGAGGGGAGTGGAGTGGAGAGGTGGGGACCGCCCTGCTGGTCTGCAGTGAAGTGCTGCATTTTGCCAAACACAATTAAAAATGTGCATAACTCGCAAAGTGACTTGGCAACGACAACGATGACAACAACGACAACAACAACAACAGCAACAACAGCAACAACGTTGCAACGTTGATGTAGTTCAAGTTGTCTTCGTTGTTGTTGTTGTTGTGTTTCGACGTCGTCGTCTAACGGTCCATGTCGGTCGCCTATCCTCAGTCTGTCTGTCAATCCTCAGTGTGTGCGTGCGTGTGTGTGTGCGTGTGTGTATGTGTGTGTGACTGCCTGGTTAGCTGCCTTTGAAGTGGATTACAATGTAAATGGAGGAAACAACGGTGCTTATTTCTCGCTCTCGTTCCCATTTTAATACACGCGCTCATCCTGACTAAACACAAGCAAAAGTCTAACGAGAATTCTTGTTCCTCTTTCGACTTGTTATGCCCTTAGTCAGAGGGACTTATAACTTTGTCATCAAATGTGTAACGCCTAGATGGAAACTTCTGTCTGTGTCTCAAACAAGTCTCTCAGCTCGAAAGTGTTCAAGTTAATCGGATCGGAACACTGTGGTATAATATTTTGAATTCACGTATAGAAAATTAAAAAAATATTTTTTATAATATCTTTTTTATAATTTTTATTTTATTATCTATAATTTGAAACACTCAATGTTTTGTTTTATATTCAATTTAGTTTGTATTATTTTTGGTGTCCAATAAGAATGTTGTATGGTAAATTGCCATACAGCATATAACGGCAAGGGTATCTGGAATTCGGCACAACGAAGCTAACCGTTTC